TTTGTATTTATTTATATTATTTTTTTGATTAATATTAATAATATATTAAAAGGTAAATAAGTAAATTTTCATATTATAATAATTAAAATCTTTAAAATTAAAATAATTTTAAAGATAGAAAAAAAAAATAAAAAATATATATATATATATATATATATATATATATATATATATATATAAGAATAAAAACTTTTAAATAATTATTAACTAAAAATATACGATAAAATAAAATAATATATAATAAAGCAATATGCATTATAATGTTTAATATTAGAAAACATTATAAGCTTAACAATAATTTTAATAGAAACATAAATATTAGTGTTTTCATTTTATTTTCTAATTTTCTAAACTCATTAATTACCATTCAAAATTCCATTTTAAAGGTAATCCTTAATGAGAAAGATTTTCATCCTACCACACAAATGCATCCTATTCTTAATGAGTAGGTCCTAATAAAGAAAAATTAAAAAAAAATTATATATATTTTTTTTTGATATTTTTATTATATAATAAAGGCGAACAAAAATAATACATGTTTATGTTATCTGCCTTTGATTATAAAATTTTAACCATAAATTATAATATATATAAAATATTATTATAAAAAATTAATATAATTACCACTAATTGCCCATGAATTAAACTTCTGAATTAATTCCAAATCAAAAACTTTACTATCTACTTCCCCAAAATACGAGCCTTTTAGAATATCAGATCTGTAACCTATAGCTTCTAAAAATATTAATTTAAATAATATTTTTTTTCTTTTACAAATTAAATAAAATACCTCCAGTATTAAATACAGGCTCATCTTATTCATGATTTTTTTCATAAGCATTATGTTACATTAGCCATTAAAGATCACTAACAGTATTAATTCTTTTTTAAAAGTATTTAAAAATTAAATAACGAGGGTCTTATTTAAATTTTAGTAATTCATTATATTTTTCAGATTAACTATAACCTGTGAAATCCCTAGTTTTTTAAAAATAAGGGTTATTAAATGATGAGAAGTATGTTTTTTTAATCAAAAATTTAGTCATATCTTCATAATAACTTAAATTTAAAATCTATTCAAAAACAATAAAAGTATTTTACTCAATTTATTCGTTTTTTTTCAATTATTATAAGTCTAAAATCATCCATTAAGAGCAGTAAAGTTATTATTAACCGTATTTTTTCATTAGTTATACCCAATTACTCTTTTATTTTTATTAAAATGAAAAAAATATAAATATTTTACACCATTTTTCGCTAATATTAAGGAAGCTTAAACTCTAATAAAATCGTGCATTAGGATTTTTTCATATTCAATATTTTTAAATTATTCTTCATTTAAAATAGGGATAGTAGTTTCAGTAATATAGATTTTATCTTTCAAAATAATATAATCATCAGTAGAAGTAATAACACCTTTTTATATTTAAAATTTAAAATAAATAAATGATTTAGAAAACCTGGATAAGAAGACATTTAAATAACTTATTATTATTAAAAGAGATTAAGTGTATAAAATTTAAAAATTCTGTTCATTTCATAATAACCCTCCCAAGTAGAATGGGCACCTATAATATTCTAAAGTTTGTTATCTTCAGTAGTAAGTAATTTAAAAAATACAGAACATCTTTATTTTGAATAAATTTTAAACCATTATTTATGTTTTTCCTCACTTTATAATACTTTCTTTAATTTAACTGATTATAAGTTATATAAATTTTTAATTGAACTTTATTTTCTTATTTTTATTAAATCTTCTATTTCTGACACTTATCCGTCAGAATTCATTAAGAGAAGTTCTTATATACTAAGCTTATTTTCTTATGATAATAAATTATATCCGTACATGATACCTTCTAATTATAGTTGATAGAGTTAAGCCTAATTTTTTTATTTTTATTTTTATTTTAATTTTTTTATTTGATTTACTGCTTTCCAAAATTACTATTCTTCTTTATCTTTCATATGACGAATCTAACTAAACTTCTCATGCATATTTTTCTGAATTGTGTCAAAAAATTCTTTGAATTCTTACATATTTACATTATTAGTTTTTTAAGTATTTGTTTTAAAATTATCTATTTCTTATTTTGATACTAACCCTTCTAATATACCTGCACAAACCATTTATTATTTATCAGAAAAATATTTATTTGTTACAATGTATAATTAATCCCAACTTTATTAAAATTAAAAAAATAATATAATATATTTATTATAATATAGTATATTTAAAATATTTAATTTTTTACCCTGTTTAATTTAATTTTCTTTCATACTAAATAGATGCACATACATTGCTTTTATCATTTTCTTAATATTGTACTATTTAATATTTAGAATTTTCACTTTTTATAATAGAAAGTTTAACTGATTATTATTATAAATATTCAGTTGTTAATTATTAAGAAAGATTAAAATTATGAAAAGAATGTTTTTATTAAGTAAATTTAGTTTTAACAAAAAAATGAAATATAAATAAAATGAAAATTATTTTCATAATTCTTGTTGTTTTTGTTACTTTTACTCTTTTATTTTTTAATCTAATATTATAAATTAAAAAACAATTTTTGTTATATATTTTTTTTTGAATTTGATTTTAAAATAAAATCATAATCTACTTTATTATTATTTTTTTACTTTTTATATATCTTATTATTATCAAAATGTTATTTATTATGATTTATCATTATTTTTTATAAAGGTAAGTATTTTTTATTTATATATTTAAATAAATAAAGTTTTAATCACTTAATGAAATTTAATTTAAATGTCTTTTTACGCCGAAAAAAAACTAAGACTTCAAAATTTATTTAGATTTTCCTTAAATTATACATCATTTTATAAATTAATAATAATTACTTTTTGAAAAATAAACTTTTTAAGCTAAAAAATTAAATTTGTAAACCTAAAATTGAATTTATAAATCTTTCTAAATTATATACCCTGTCTCATTATTACTATAATATTTATCAATATATTTTTTTTAGAAGGAAGTTTAAAATTATTTCATCCTTGTATTATTTAATGCTTTAATTATTTCAAATTATTTTTATTCATCCCTATTAGTTAAAGTATTCCGAATATCTTAAAAATAATTAAATATATTGACAATAATATTTTATAAATTGAAACATAAAATTACAAATAAAAATAAGAAATATATATTAATTTTAAGAAAAATTAAAATTCAATTAAGATAAGATAAAATTCTTATTTTAATTAAATTAATATAAATGATTAACCAGATTATTTAATTTCGCTATTTTCAATTATTTATTATTTTTATGGAAAATTAAGTTACACTACATAAACTCATTCATTGATATATGTATATTTTAAAAGAAATAAATATATAATTAATAATTTAAAGAATTATAATAATCTTGCTAAGAAAGACCTAGTAATAGTGATTTTACGTATTTTAAAATATATTAATTAATTTTATTTAACCCTTTTATTTTTTTGTTTTGTTCAATTTAAAAGATATATTTTTTAGGAATCTAAATAATTCTACTTAACTGAATTTTTCTTAAAATTTATATTAAATTTATTAAATATATATAATTTGATAGGCCTTAAGAAAAAATAGATTTATTTAAATAAGTAAAAAAATTAAAATATATATTATTTATATATAATTATATTTATTATTATTTATAATTTTTAAGTAAATATTGCATTTAAAACTTTATATAATTTTAAACTATTTTATTTTTGTATTAAAAATAATAATAAAATTATTTATATAATTATGAGTAAATAAATTAATTTATTCCCAATTAAAAATATAATTTTAAAATTAAAATAAATGTAGTAAACTTTCAAGAAATTTCAAAAAATAACAAAAATAAAAAAAGGAAAGATGATAAGAAAAATATATTAATTACATATAAAAATTATAAAATAATTTATTTAATATAAAAATAAATATATAATAAATACTATAAAAAATATTATTCTTATATATAATTATGTTATATAATATATTTTTAAGACTAAATATTATTTCAAATTTTATATTTTTTTTTTATTGTTTTCTATAACTTGATTCATTATAAAATTTATTATTTCTATATCTATAAGTGAATATTTTATAATCTTTTTAAATCATTTATTAAGGCCTCCAAACCCAAACTCTTCCAAATTTTAAATTACCTCAAAAAGTTTTATTTTGGATATTTTTTCTAAAGTTTTATAAAAAGCCTTAGTTGATTAAAAAATAATCTTACCTTCAATTTTCTAATTATCAAAAGGCTAAAATTAAAAAAAAATGCCTAAATAAAAAAAATATAAATTAGGGTACATATTAATATTATAGTTGATAAAAAAGAAAATAAATAAATATTTTAAAAATATAAATAAAAAATATGATATATATTAATATATAATATTATAATATAAATATTATTATTTTTGAATTTTTATTTTTATATTAAATTAATTTTTTATTAATATAAAATATTATTTAAATTAGATTTAAATTAATTATAAAATTTATAAATTTTAAACTGTTTTATTTTATATAGATATAATTGTTAAATATATAATTATAATACATAATATAATTTTGTTTTTGAATTTATTAAAAATCTTAAATTATTTATGAAAATAATTTAAATTTAAAAACAATATATCAATAAATAAAATAAAATTTCAATAAATAAATAATATAAAATTAATTTACTAAATAATATCTATATCTAATAGTAAAATATATAAATAAATTTCAAGTATTAATATAATTTATTATCTTATAAATTATTTATTAAATAAATAACTTTTTTTCTATTTCTTTCTATTAAAAAAATAAAAAAATAATCAAATTTAAAAATTAATAAATATATAAGGAAAAGGAAAATAAATAATGTTAATATTCTTATTTTTATATATAAAAAAAAAAATAATATTAATATATATATATATTTTTTTTTATATTATTATTTCTTCTATTAATAAATTAGATTGAAACAAAAAATTAAATAAAAAAAAATTAATATGATTTCATAATAAAATGGATAAAGTTATGATAACTAAAATTTTAATAAATATGATTTCAGGAATAAAACGTTAATTTTAAAGTAGCGAAAAAAATAAGACTTATAATCAAAAATACAATAAAAAGTACACATAAGATATTTTAAATATAAGCTTTGGGACAGATGAAGTATATAATTAAGTTTAAAATCATAATAATAATATAAATAGTTGTTCTAATAATATTAATTAATAGCCAGAAATAAACATTTAAATAAACGAACATGATGATTCTTTTGACTAAAATGTAATAATAAACTCATTTTAAAATCATTAGCAAATAAATATGAAAGAAAATAATCGCCGACGAAAAGATAGTTGGTAAGTTTTTAATAAAAGTCTTGACGAAAAAATAGTTTGTAAAAAAATACTTTTAATTGAAGATGAATTTTCTGAATTCGCAATTTTGGAAGAATTAAATGGAGAAGATGAAGGGTAAATAAAAGAATTAACAAAATCATAATGGGAGATTATATTTTAAAACAAAAAAACAGAACCTTAATAAAATAAAAATGTTTATTATTCTCTATTAATAGGAATAACTTTCGATATGTATTTTTTTTTTTTTAATTTTTTTTTTTTTTAATATAAATATATATAATATTTATATTTCAAATTTTTAATTATAAATATATATATTTAAATTATTTTAACAGAAGAAGAAAATTATGGCCAATTTTTTGTCAAGTAGATTTTTTAGAAAATACATTTGGAAAATAAATTCCTCCATAATTTTTTAAAAAACCTTCTAAAAATGATAAATTTATTAAATAAGACTTAGATAGGATTTTTAATTTTAACTAATATAAAAATGATAAAATTAGATAATAATAAGTAATATTAATAAATAGATTTTTTTTATAAATTAAATTAAAAATAAAAAAAAATAAGTAATAAGATATTTATTCGAAATCTTTCAATATTTTGAGAGCTTATGCTTAATATGATAAAGAAGTTGGATATATTTAAGGCATGTCTTTTATTGTTAAAGCTATTTTAATGCATTTACATCCAGAAAACGATAAGGAATTCCCTGATATATATTTCCTAGATTCCACTTATGAAAGAATAGCTTTTTGGATTTTCTATTATATTATGTATGAAAAATAATGGAGAGTACTTTTTTTAGACGGCCAGCCTGGTCTCTATGAAATTTTGAATAAATTTAAAAAGAAAATGGAATAAAATTTATCAAAAATACATGAACATATAATTGGTTTCGAAGTACATTATTATATTTTTATTTTTTTGTTTTAATTTTGTTCATAAATTCAAATAAGTTGGATTATATTTTACTATTTACTTAAGAATTTTGTACTCTAATGCAATATAATACACCAAAAACATTTGCAAAAAGAATATTAGATATGTTTTTATTTTAAGGAGAAGAATTAATGTTTTCAGTATTTCTTAATATGATAAAAGTATGTGAACATTAAATTTTGAGTATATAAGAAGCTCACGTAAATAACATTATTTTTTATTTTTTTAAATAAATAAATTAATTAATAGAAATTAAAAAAATTCTTAAAAGAAGATTTAATGAAAACATGTAATAATATATTTAAAGAAGATTTAAAAGCATAGCAATCAATAAAAGATTTTAGATTAAATGTTACTAAGTATACAACAATATAAGTTTAATAGTGAATATATTATTTAGTATTTATATAAATTATTTATTTCAAATATTTATATGTTATTTATATATATATATATTTATTTTATTTTTAATTTTACATAATTTTCGTATATTTAATTTAAAGATTATTATACAATCTTTTATTGTTAAAATTTTGAAAAAATATAAAAAAATTATAATTATTAATATAAAAAATAAATATATATTAATATATAAAAATATATTTAAATGTATACAAATATATATAAATATATAAATATATATAAATATATATATATATGATATATTTATTTAACAAAAATTTTTCATTTTTTATAAAAATATTTATTAAAATAAGTTTATTATTATATTTATAAAAATAAATAAATAAATAGCTTTTAAATATAAAAATGGATACATTTATTTAATATTAAATATAAAATCGTATTTTTAAAATAGCTACAAGAAATTCATAATTAGCATTGACTTAAACACATGAAGTTTTTATATTTTTAAAATAAATCATTTAATTAAAAAAAATTACAATTTAAAAGGTATTAGATATGTTATTAACAATAAAAGAATTAAATTTAAAAAAAGAAAATTTCCAATTAGTTTAAGTTTCTAATGCAGAAGGTATACATTTTAAATATTTATAACCTTTTACATTAAAAAAAAGGTGATTATAATTTAAAGGACCCATTATATTAAATAGGAGGTGTAGGTCTATTTACAAAATAAGTTGAGAATGAATTGTAAAAAAAAACAAATAAACAAACAAAAATAAATAAAAAAAATAACAAATAAAAAAAAATTAAAAAAAGAATAAATAATAATGCGGATATAGCAGTTCATTCATTAAAAGATCTTCCAACAATAATAGACGAAAAACTATATATTGGAGCAGTTCCACATTTGTAAAAATTTTAATACTTAAAATAAATATAAATAAATAATAGAAAAAAAAGAAGCGATATAGTAATTATTTCTGAAAAAAATTCAGAAAAAACCTTATAAACATTACCAGAAGGAAGTATAATAGGAACATCATCACTGAGAAGAGTGAATTCTCTAAAGTATCGTTTTCCTCATTTGAAATTTGAGAACATAAGAGGAAATTTGAACACAAGATTAAACAAGTTAAAAACAGGTTAATATAATGCTATAATATTAGCATATGCAGGAGTAGAAAGATTAGGTTGGACAGATAAAATAACTTAAGTTTTGGACGAAAAAGAATATTTTTATGCTCCTGGATAAGCAGCATTAGGCATATAATGCAGAAAAGATGATATTTTATCAATAAAAATGTTACAATATATAAATAATAGAGAAGCATAAATAAGAGTAGAAGCCGAAAGATAATTTTTGAATAGTTTAGAAGGTGTAAATCTTATTTTTTTTATTATTATTTTTAAATAAAAAAAGGGATGTAAATTACCTATTGCTGTTTATAGCGAGTTAAATGGCGAAAAATTACTTTTAAAAGGATAAGTTTGGGATAATAATGCTACTTATACTATAAAAGATGGTTTTTTTTATTTAAATTTATTTTATTTTGTCTTTTTTAAAAGAAATCGAAGGAAATATTAATGATTAAGAAATAGGCTTAAAATTATGTAAATTAATGAAAGATAAAGGGGTTGATAAAATATTGGAATTAGTAAAACAATAAATAGTAGAAGAGAAAATCAAACAAAAATAACAAAATACAGAATAAAAATGAAATTCATTTATTTAAATATATATTTTATCTATATTAATTAGAAAAATAATATATTTATGATTTATTTTAAATAAATAAATGATATAAAAATTTATATTTAAAAAAAAAAAATATTATATATATATTTATAAATATAAAATAAATATAAATATATATATATATAAATATAATTATATAAATATTAATATATATATATATTTATTTAAAATTTTTATATTCAATATTAAGAAGATTATTTTTTAAATAAAAATAGAAATAGAATATTTACAAAGTATAAAAATACAAAAATATAAAATACAATAATATTTTTTTATTTTATTTGATTTTAATAATATTATTTTCTTATACCTAAAAAATTAATAAAAAGAAATATTTTACCTTAGAATTATGACCGATTAACCTAACTTTATCTAAAATAAACAAATATATCTAATAAATAATTGATTATTCATAATAAAAATATATAAATATTGTTTAGAAAATCAAGTAATAATAATAAAAATAAAAAATATTGATATAAATGATTAAAAAAATTATTTAAAATATTTATTAAATGTGTTATTTATTATTAATTAATAGTTAGGTATATTATAGTTTAAATTTATAATTAGTAAATTACAGTTTGTAGTTTTATTATAATAATAATTGAATTAATTATAAATTTATTATAATAAAGCAAATAATAAAACTAAAACTAATAATATAAATAAACCTATAAAAAATCGATTTTAAAATAATAAAAATAATATAATAATAATAATGTCTTTATGTTTTACATTAAATTTGTAAATTTAAAATTCATAAATTCAATTTAAATTAAATAAATTGTATAAGCTTAATTAAATTATGATTAATGAGTTTATTTAAATAATTGAATTATATATTATAAATTATTAAAAAAGTAAATTATTTCTGAAAAAAAATATATTTCCTATTATTTAATAAAGACTATTATTTAATAAAACAATTTATCAAAAATTAATAAAAATTTTGTTTTAAGATGCTTATTATGTAAGAATAAAATTATAAATAATAATAATAATAATAATAATAATAATAATAATAATAATAATAATAATAATAATAAGACAAGAATATAATATTTTTACTTTGAATTTTTTTTTAAAAATGGTCAAATAATTATTTTATATTATTTTAATATCCTAATAAATATTTAATTGCTAATAAAATTTGACTTTAATAAAATTTGTTTTCAATTAAAAATTTGATTTTCTTGTGAAAAAAATATATTCTTATAATGTATAATTTGATCGCTAATCTAAAATATATATAAATAAAAATTAAATAATTTAATAATTGTAGAAATCGCATTATAAAAATAAACTATAAAAAAAATTAAAAACCTTTTTAAAATAATTAACAAATAAACATTTTGCTATTGTTATTTAACACTATTTAAATATTGCTTAAATATATTTTATTTTTTATAATTTATTTTTTATACTGAACACTATATTAAATATGATTATTTGCTAAAAACCCTAATTTAAATTTATATAGATTTTATTTTAAAAAACTAAAAATAATAAAAAATAAACTATATATTATTGTTATATAATATTTTTATTATTATATTATATTATATTTTTTTTTTTTTTTTTAGAAAATTTAAATAGCTTATTGCTGCTAATTAATGTTAGATTATTAAATGTATTTTTTTAGCTAAAAATCTATGTTTGATTTATTAATTTTATTTAATTTCTTTTAATACATTTATATTTCAAACTTTAAAATACTTAAAAAATTATTTTTATTTATTTGATAATTAAAATTTCATTTATTAATGCTTTATTTTAATTTTAAACTTTTTTTTTTCTAAAACTAAATATTTTTAAATAATTTTTTATTTTTTCTTTATTTTATTTAAATCTAACTGTTTTTGTTTACTTTGATTTTATTATAATTTCATTCGTATGTGGATTTTAATATTTTTATATTCTATTTGTATTTCAGTCTATCTTTTTTTAAATTGATTTGTTTATTCTATTTCTTAATATCTTATCAAAAATTTATCATAAAAATTATTTCTTTGACTGTTTTATTTTATTCAGTTTTTAATTGCTTTATTGCTTTTACTTTTTTTAGTAGTTTTTTCTTTTTTTATAAAAAATATTAATTATTAATTATTTTAATTTTTATAGACTTTTTTTTTTTCTTTATATATAAAAAAATTAACTAAGTATAAATTTGTCTATAATATAATATTTTTAAAAAAGTTTTTTCCCATATGTTTTATTATATAAATGAAATAACAGCTTATTTTTGTATTAAATATATAATAAAAATTAATAAATAATTTCTCTATAAAGTCTAAAATTGTTAATAGTAAAAATAAATGTACTTAAAAATAATTTCTGATGTTTATAAAAAACAAAAAAATGAAGAATAAATAAAATTTTATTAAAGTTATAAAAATAAAATATTAAGTAAAATAAAATATTATATAAATTAAAAAAATAAGTAAAATGAGAAAAATAATAATATTTTTTTATTAGAAAAATATAATATATTAATATAATATAATAAAATAAAAAATAATATATATAATTTATAAAAATTATAATATAGAAAAAAAATTATTTAAAAAAAATAAAAGAAATATTATAATTTTGAAAAGATTTTATTTAAAGCAAAAAAACTAAATATAGAATAGATATTATAAATGAATATATATAAAAATAAATGAAATAGTAATTTTTTAGATGAATTAAGATATAATATTATCCTGTAAAATTATTTAATTTTATTTGAAATAAAATAAAAGTATATATTTATTATTTTTATAAATTTTATTTTATTTTTTTTATGTAAATTATTTAGAAATAACATTTTTAAGTGGTTCAAATAAAATTAATAGAAATAAAAATTTAAAATATAAATTATAGAATAATTTATATTAAATTTATAAGTTTTTATATTTTTTATTTGTTAATTTGATTAGATATATTATTATATAAAATATTATGTAATTTAAAAAAAAAAAAATATTATAAAAAAATAGATTAATAAATAAATATATATTATAAAAAAAAAAAATATATAAATTATTATAAGAAAATGTAATATATATATATATATATATATATATATATATCAGTTTTTTTTAATTTATCTAAATTATCCATATAATTATATAAAAAATAAAATAATAATCAAAATAATTTATTAAATAATAAAAATAAATATTTTTATTTACTTTTTTTTAAATTATAAATATAAAAATTAAATTTTAATTTCCTTTAATATTTCTCAATTAAATTAATATAAAATATATTCTTCATTTAGCTTATCATTCGAAAAATTCGTCTTGTATATAACAATCACTTAGAAATATAAATTTTAATTTTTCTATTTTCAGATTTTATTTAAATTTACCTTTCATAAAGAATCTCCATTTATATAAAAATTTATTTAAATTTTAAAAATAATTACTATAATATTTTTATAAATTAAAAAAATAAATTCGCCTTCATATGCTAAATTTCCATTTGGATAGTATAATACATTCAAAGCAATATGTATATATAATAATTGAATATTATTTTTATTTTTAAAATTTGTTCACATTTTCTATTCAATATATCTAATAATTTTTTTTATTTAAATTGGAATTCTATTAATTAAAAAAAACAATATTATTTAACATTATTTAGTTTATTTGAGTATTTGTTTGCTCGATTTCATGTAATTTAATGTTTTTTTTATACATTCTCATTTAGTGATTAAATTAAATTTCTCCCATAATAAACTACTTTCCATAAATTGATCTATTAATTATAATTTTAATTATGCGTTATTTATTTATATATATATATATATATATATATATATATATATATAAATTAAATTATTTTATAAATAAAATAAATATATATTATTTAATTTTATAATTATATATTTTCGGATTTCATTCTATTATGATTAAAATAATGATACTTATTATTCCATTTTATTATAAATAAATTATATATTTTTTAATAATTTTCATTTAATATTGTAAATATTTTAAATAATGCTGATAATTATAGAAAAAATAAAATTATTATTATATATATTATTATTGATTTTTATTTATGTACAATTTTATTTTTTCCTATTTATTTCATTATTATTTTTAAAGAATCTTATATTTATAACATTTTATTTTATTATTTATTTATGAGATTAATTATATCGATTTATTTTACAAAACTAAAAACTAAAATTAAGCAATTATCATATACTTTGTTTAAAAACTAGAAAACTAACAATCAATATAAAAGAATTATATAAATTGATTTTTTCTTTCTTTTTTTAAAAAATATATTAGATAGTGATTTTATATTTTTTTTAAAAAAAATAATTTATTTTTATTATATAATGAAAAATAAAAGATATAAAATTAATTTTATTTATTTTTCTCATAATAAATAAAAATTACATATATTAAATATTTATTGAAAATTTATTTAAAAAAATATATAAAATATTTTTATTTTATTTATATTTAAAATAAGATAGTCTAAATATAGTTATATTATTTATAATTAAAAATAAAAAAAAAAGTTTAGCCAAAAAAAAATCTCTAGCATAAAAATAATATCAATTATAATTTTTATTTATGTATATAATCTTATATTTTATAAATTCATTATATATAAATAAACAAAAAATGAAGTTAAGAAACTAAAAACAGTTTAATTTATGTGAAAACCCTCATATAGATAATTATAATGTGTTCTAAACTTATATTAAAGAATAAAAAGTTATATAATGTAGAAATTTTTCCTTTTAGTAATGCAAATAGGATTATTAAAATTTATCTAAATAGGAAAAAGAATAACTTTAAAAAAAAGTTGATTAATCTCGA